ACGAACGATGTAAAATAATAATGAAAAATATCTAAAAAGTTATAATCCCCATAATACGCCCCAAAAATACAACGTAAGACGGGGAAATATTGATTCTCCATGAAATTAAAAAATAACATTATTTAAACTGACTTACAGACTGCTTCAGTATACTTAATATAAAGATCACATGGAGAGTGTTCCATGAAAGACCTGTGCGCAGTTTACGTGGTGGAATCGAACTCAGGACCTTCTTGTTGTGAGGTAACAGTGCTACCCACTGTTCCACTGTGCCGTACTATTATGCTATTAGCAAATTAGCATTTTGCTAGAGAACATTTTTAAAGAACTTTTTTTTTCTGCACTATCTGGTCGTTAAGTCTGACGTCACTAGCCGTGTCTGGGCCTAAACAGGGATAGCTCAGTAGGTAGAGTGGTTGCCCCATGATCGGAAGGTCGGGGGTTCGATTCCCCTTAACAGCTACCCTGAGGTACCCCTGAGCAAGGTACCGTCCCTACACACTGCTCCCCGGGCGCCCAATGGCTGCCCACTGCTTCACTGAGTGAATGGGTTAAATGCAGAAAGGAATTTCCCTACGGGGCTCAATAAAGTACAATAAAGTACACACTTTCTTCTTCTTCTAAACTCCGCTGCAGGTCCATATATCAAACGATCACTATGGCATTACTGAGAGTTGAAAAACTGTCTAAAGTCTCTCATCTTTAATAAAATGATCAGCGTTCTGCTCTACCAGGTGTAACAACTGAGTTTAACATCCAGGCATCCATGAAAACGGAATTTATGACATTTAACGGAGTTAGAAGTTAGCAGGGAGTTAGCTCGCTAGCTTCTATCTAAATACAATATAGCATGTCCTGACTGCGGGGTTTTGGAAACAAATTCAAACGTACAGCTTTCTTATCACTTCCAGCATAAATGAAGACAGAAAACTAAACAGCAGTGATGTTTGTAGGGTTACTGAAGTTGGGCTAGCTGGTATATAATGATGTGCTACGTGACCGCTAGCGACACAGCTATGTTAGCATAATATAAACAAGCTAACTTTTTTCCCACTCGATAAAAGTTACCGTGAGTGTTCTCGGTGGTCAGGAACAAATGTAATCGCATGGCAGGATGCTGTAAAAGGACCAAACTTCAGCCAGGAGAACAACTGAGATAATCCATCCACAATACGAGGTTAGTCATTCATATACTGCTGCATGGGCTGGGCTGTAGTTACATCCTAAGGTTTTAAAAACTGAGCTTAAATAAATGATTAGCAGTAATAAAAGCCGAGGGAGGTCAACAGTGGTCGCTGACTGTTTTAGGAGCTTTTTGAGATCAAATAGAAGAAAATACATAACATTAAACATGTTAACAACACAAAAGCCATATTAAACGCAGACTACTTTAGGCCCGGAAGTAGGATTCGTCGTGTCATCACTGAACGACCGGATAGTTTTACATTCATGCATCACATTTGTTGGCATTTTCCCGCCTGTAGCTGGCCTGCTGCAACTAAAAGCTATAAATCCAGTGAGCTGACGGGCACGCCCGCCTCGCACAGCAGCAGGTTACAGTCAGACCGGTCGAGCGTCTGTGAAATGCTGTCAAACATCCCCTTCACTGTTTATCTTTTCATCTATTTAATTATTCTTCCTTCTAGGACGCGAGACGTATGCAGGTCAGCAGAGTTACGGTAAGAGCAAAACAAAGAGCAGCGGGAAATCTTCCCAAACTTCCAGAGACACCTTCATGGGTTTTTGGCAGCATGAAGAAGAGGAAGAAGCTAAAAAAACACCACCTTTAATCTTCCTGCTTCCCTGAGATTTGAGATAATTAATAATCTTTATTATTAGTCAGCAGAAGCTGCAGCAGCACAGCGTGCGACTCTGCAGGCCTCCTTCACTCATTCTCCACTTAGTTTTTATTTCATGCTGTTTATCTGAAGCCGAGTCATGTCCTGCTTTGTTTTCTGTCACACTTCATGAAGCTCTTCTTTTATTTTGTCACTTGGCTTCTTTCCAGTTTTGGCTGCTTTAACGCAGGAATTTCTCAACTTTTGTGGTGAATAAAGTCTCAGTTTGTGTTTTGGTGTCTAAGAACAGGAAAGCTGTGCAGTGTGTTTTAGGATCCATGAAACACTGAGCGTAAAGCAAAAGCACAAAGGATCGTGGTGCGCTGAGGCCGACCTGTGCGCGTTAAACAAATCACCTACTGAAGACTCTTACATCTCTAACAGCTGCACCTACAGTTCACATGACGCCAGCCCATGTGAACCTTGTGTGCATGTTATCATGTTCTCTGGGAGTCAGTGATAGAGCGCCCTGCAGCTCTATGAGGGGACTCGGCCCTTTCCTCAAAGTGAGCGTCAGGCTGAAGGAGGTTCTGCAGAAGCACGAGCGCACGACGTCACAGCACAACTTAAAGGAAAGAAACTGTAGGCGATCAAAATATTAGTACCGGTAGTAGTATTTAAAAATGTCAACTCTGCAAGTGATCAAACGCTCAGGGACACATTAATATTAAAAGATATACATCAAGTAGTGTTTAATTACATCTTTCACAAAGTGGATGCACCCTCATAAATTTAGAGTTAATTCATTAAAAATAAATAGCAATGAGTTTTATGTAAACTACCAGGCAAAGGTTTGAACTCACCGTATCATTCAATGGTTTTTCTTTATGTTCATAAAATGAAATTTCATAAACAAAAACCTGTGAAATATCATGTTTTACATTTCAGAGTTCTTAAGAATAGCTGCCCTTTGCTTTGCACACTCTTGGCATTCTCTCCATATATGATCATAGACATGTTCATTTATTTCCAATATTGATCAGATTAGACGTGTGACAGCTGATGATTAGCCGGCTAAAGATAACAGTAGGGGGCCATCGTAGCTCAAGAGTTGGGAGGTCGTCGTGTAATCGGAAGGTTGCCGGTTCGAGCCCCGGCTCGGACAGCCTCGGTCGTTGTGTCCTTGGGCAAGACACTTCACCCGTTGCCTACTGGTGGTGGTCAGAGGGCCCGGTGGCGCCAGTGTCCGGCAGCCTCGCCTCTGTCAGTGCGCCCCAGGGTGGCTGTGGCTACAATGTAGCTGCCATCACCAGTGTGTGAATGAGTGTGTGGATGACTGGAGGTTCCATTTGTAATATTACGTTTATGAACTAGTGGTTTTATATATAACACGTTTAAAATATTTCGTGGATTCATCTTATTATTATTATTATTTTTTATTAGGAGTTGGAGGTATTTGCATTTTTTAAAGGTGATGGCTGTGATAAAGTTTTGACTTTATATGACAGAACAACAACAAAGAGTGTGAAGGAAACTTTTCTTGCTGTTGTGCAATATTAAATTATGTTTAACTCGTCCTTGCAGAAAGAAACATAAGAGGTTCCTGATAACATCGACTCGGCAGAGCGACGCTCAACAACACAAACACCGCCCCACACCAGGGACACAACACAACAGCTGAGTCATTCAAACCCTGACGTGATGGTGTTTAAAGAGAAGTGGTATCTCATCTCATGTGTGTCTTAATCACGCTTTCTTGCTAAGTCGTTCTGTGACTCAAGCGTTCAAATGAAAGTCACTCCCAGCGAGAAACACTGTAAATGTATTTTACTGTAAACAGGACAGAAGTGCCGATGCCATAAACCTGAAGGTCGGGACTGTCTTGATCTGGGTCAGTGATCTGAGCTGAGTGAAACAAGCCTGACTGTGCAGAGACTGCTGCAGCTCACAAACGTGCACGAGCAGCTCTGGCGAGGACGCGTGATGGCCAAACGCTGCTTCAGTCACAAACATCAAAGTTCTTTTTATACCTTCAAACATCTTTCAGCGTCTTCAAACTTTTGTCATGTACATGCTTCAGTTAGCTGATAGGGAGCCAACAATCATTTGACCCCCTATCAGCAAGCACCTGGCGACAGTGGGAAGGAAAAACTCCCTTTTAACAGGAAGAAACCTCCGGCAGAACCAGGCTCGGGGAGGGGCGGGGCCATCTGCTGCGACCGGTTGGAGGGGAGGGGTCAGTCGACCTAAAAACAGAGCCACTAACGTTGTTTGGATTATTCTAGCCTTTATGTTTTAAAAGCATCTCGATTTAGTCGTTTTTCCCTCAGCCGCCTGACACAAACGTGAAAATGCTGCCTGTCGTCTTTGTGTTGTCACACTCGGCTGTACAGATGAGTACAGATGTCTGATAGAGACGTCACCTGATGTACTCTAATAAACTCTATTATATAAAGCAAGATGTAAGAATCAGACACCAGCTGTTAAAAACAGAATCTTCAAATAATGATTCCAGATGTTTACGTTCATTTAATCCCTGAAAACGTGAACGGCTCTGCTCCTGCTCGGCTCCGACATCGGGACGTTCATTGGCTGCAGCGAGCAGAAGGAAACTTTCTGCACCTTTAACCTCCTAAGACCCGAACTCTTTCATTGCATGCATTTCATACACACATACATTCATCGAGTCCCAAAGAATTACCTGATTTTTTTGGTTTTGAACCTGATTTTTGTTTCTGAGAAAAATGAGATCCACATGAGAGGACATTTGTTTCAAATTTTGATAGAACAGCGGCAACATTTTGTGTTTTAGTCTAAAGGTTAAGAGAGAATCCAGCCCGTGGTTTTTAGGAGCAATGATCATCTCAGCCATGTTACTGTGACTGAAAACGAGACACAGGTCACACTGATGGTCGTATGAACTGGATGAAAAGTGAGGAGGCGGTACATGTCCTCTGAGTCCACGTCCCCTCATGAACTTTTCCACAGCTTCACAGAAAAACAGACGGCTGAATAAAAACTGTCCTGAATGCTGTCAAGCAGGTTTTCCTGCGAGTTACCTGTGCAGCCGTCACGACATCAGACTCAAAATGCTTCCAATCTTTCCCACGACCCACACGGGATCTCCTCCCCTGGTAAAATCAGCAGAGCAGACACGGCTGATGTGTGCAGCTGTGTGTCCACGGGACAACGGCTGCTGAGGTTAATGAGGGTCGACACCAATAACAGGCCAATGATTTTATTCTGTTTAAATGAAACAAAGAAAACTTTGTGTCAACGTCAGATAAAACTCAGATCGGCTCGCAGCAGGAACGCCGGGATCAGTTTACAGGAAGCGTTCCATTTCTTTAATCCCGGCGCTCTGCACAGGCGGCGAGCGTCTGCACTCAGCTTCTCACAGGTATGGTGACGCCAAATCAGCTGCAGGGTTTACATAACAGTTCCTATAACAGCAGATGGGGGAGGCGGCGTCTCTCTGACTGCACACCTGCAGCTTTGTGTGAGACACCTCAGTCCAAACCTCAGTTTTTCCTCGAGCTTTGTGAAGCTGGAGCGGAGCCGAGGTGTGCGCATTTACTCTGGCCGTCGCTGGCTGCAGCTCCTGCGACGGCCTGTGGGAGCGGCAGCTGTAAGCTCTCACAGGTCGATGGTTCCTTTCACTTTGAACTTCTTGGCGGCGCGTTCGCCGGCTCGATACTCAAACTTGCTGCCGTAGATGTGCGAGACGAAGCCGTTGATCTCCACTGCAAACACGCTGTTCCTCTTTGGGATCACTGAGGGGCCGAAGCAGGAAACCACGTTTAAATCTGATGAAGCAGATTCATTACTGCACACGCACCTTCACTTCCTGTCTTCAGCCGTAACACATCCTCTTCCAGACCACATTCAAACAATTACACCATCGTATTCATCTGTAACAGTCAGCCCGCCACTGTGTGTCACTGACTCACATCCACACAAACCAACACACGGAGAGACTCACACACTCCTAACCTTTCAGTTTGTCGTCTCTGGTGATGATCTTGAAGACGTGTTTGAACTCTTGCAGCAGAATCCCAGACGTCCCCACATAAGACGGACACTTGGACCGCACCACTGCAGCGAGGACAAGAACAGACTGTCATGTTGCACGAGCCTGCACGCGTGTTAGTAGGTTTCAGTCTCTGCAGCAGCAGGAAAACCAGGAGCTGGGGGGGCTGCAAAGAGGCTTGCAGTGAGCAGCTCAAACAGTTCAAACATGCTGCTGCAGTAAATACTACGGTATATCAATTTAAACTTCCAGATGATTTCATGCTAAGCATCAAAACTGACTCGGCCTGTTTGGAGAGTAAAGAAGGAAACCAGGAGCTTCAGGTACCACAGCGAGCGCGCTCACAGCTGTTCACGCGGTTATGAACATCTGAGAACAACAATGTTCCTGAGAAGACTCATGTCCTCAGGAAAGCAGTGAGTTTAAAGAGCACTTCCAGAGGAGGCCAGCACTCTTATGTCCTCTCGAGGCTCCAGAGGTCAGCACTCTTATGTCCTCTCGAGGCTCCAGAGGTCAGCACCTCTGGGACTCATGGCGCTCGGAGAGGAGCAGACTTACTGACGTGAACGAGGCCAAAAGTCGACTTAACCACAAACTTCATTTCAGACCAAAATGATGACTGGGGATGGCACAGGACGCCTGGAACACTGACTTTACATTCCTGAGTTTTCTGCTACAAATGAAAGAAGACGAAGAAGAAGAGTACCTGTGAGGATGGCTCCGTGGAAATCCGCCTTCAGGAGCTTCTGCTGCACGACCTGTGGATTGCTGTGAAAACATCAGGATGAGGACTCAGCGAGAGCAGGACAAACATCTGGACAAGCAGCTGTCGAGGACGCCGATTTACCTCGTTGGCTTCAATCCCCCGCACAGGTCGATGATGTACCGTCTCCAGAGTTCATGCAGAGGAAGGAAAAGCTCGTATCTGCAGCGAGGAGGACAAAGACAGTGATGCAGGAGGAGGAGCAGGTGGAGGAGCAGGTGGAGGGTTTCTCACCAACCTCTGGTGTTCAGGCTTGATCTGGAAGACCTTCAGCTCCCTCTTCTGCCGTGCGTTCAGCCCTCGGGCCTTGGCGCTCTTCCTCCGCTCCTTCTTGGGCCGGCGGTAGCCGAGGATCACGGCTTTATGCCTCAGCATGTTCTGCAGGTCGTGGCGTCTGGGCTGCTGAATGCTGTTCTTCAGGAACGCCTCGGTGAAGGCCTTCGCTTTGAAGCTGCTCTGAGGCTGACAAAGATATTTGACGTCAGGTGATTATTAAAGAGTCACGAGGCAAACGGCGTGTTTGGCAGAGCCAGCACGAGTGAAGTCATCGCTCAGCACAGAACATGAAGGACAGTTTGCTGACTTTTATCTAAAGGACGGCTACTGGCTGTCCCATTAAATCCTGAGGGCGGAGCTACAAAACCTCCTCGCTTTCTTCAGACAGCGTGTGGATGAAACACCCGAGCGTCCGCTTACCTCAACACCAAGAACGTCCACCAGCTCACGAGGAATAGGGGCTCGAACCAGACCTTCTGTGGAGAGGACACAGACACGCGTCACTGAAGCACACAGAGGGGCGGGAACGACAGAGGACACGCCTCAAGGGGGGGGGGGGGGGGAAGAGTAATGGACGCATATAAAAATGTTTGACTAAAATAAAAAGATGAAGCCAGTTTGGCAAACCTTTGATTCCTTCATGAATCAGGTAACTCGAGCGTCTAACCCGCCCACTTTCTCACGATGCCGTGGGATTTTATTTTTATAAAAGGTGACCTGTGACCTGACTGAATCCACAGGTGGAGACGTTCAGGAAACGTTCCTGTAAAAGGTGGAGCTCACCTCCCTGCAGTTACATAAAACAGGTTTAGTCCAATTTCGCTGTGACAGTCCGTTTAGCCTGTGATGTAATCACACCTGTCACACCTGGAGGCTGACGAGTGGATGATAGCAGGGAGGAACACGCAGACCCTCCTCCGCTCCACACACAGGTGGAGACCCTCCTGACCTCCACCTCCTCCGCTGGTCGCAGCTGGAGCAGTTTTAGCTTCATTAGAGAAAAACATGAGTTTGGTTTTGATCCCGTAAATGTGAGGAGAGCTTTTTCCTCGGGGGCGGGGCTTCTGTGGTCAGCACAGCTGCATTAAGGAGGAAATGGTGGATGTAAACACGTTGTTACAGGTCTCCACGTGCTACTCAAAAGTGATGACGTCACATTAATTACACGCGAGCCTCTCCTCAGGTAACACGCCCCCCCAGAGACGCAACCGACCGGACAGAAGCGAAGCTCGGACCGGAGGAGAGCCCCTCCTCCCACCGAGTCCGTGTCCAGGTGTGTGCTCACGCGCTCAGCTCACTCACCCTCCATGGTCGCAGACCTGAGCCGATCTTCTCTGAGGATCGACGAAGAAACTCCACGACACGCGTGTTTTCAGCACTGCCCGGCTCACTTCCGCGTCGCTCTTCTTCGTCACGTATTTAGAGGATGAAGCGGCCGCTGGCGCGCGCACAGCGCCCCCTGCTGCTCAACGGTAAAAGTTCTCGGACATTTTTTCCGGTTATCGCAGTTTTATTTATTTTGTCTATTAAACTTAAATATTTCCTGTTTTTTTGTCATCTCGCTCGTTATTGTGAAAATATGACGTCACGGTCTCCGTTTTACCTCTGCATCAGCGGCTTTTCCTGTTTCTTAAAGCTCCGTTCGTCCTTCTCGTTCACTGATCTTGCTCCGTTTTTCTGCTGTGACACTTCCACAGAAACCTGCAGCAGATCTTTGTGGAGCTGGCAGCTGCTGAGTGTGGAGCAGATGTTTGAGAGCTTCAGCAGGAGGCAAACACTTCTGGTTTGCCTCCTGCTGTGAGACCCGAGGCCGGATCGCTTCCACACATTTGTTGTTCAGTCTCTGTGCGGACTGAAGCCCTCGTTGTTCATACGCAAACATTAAAGAGATTTAATAACAACAGAACTGCAGCAGAGGCTCTTTGTCCCGTTTTACTACATGCAGCTCTGTGAGAGCAGGTGGAGCTCACAGAGAGGGTGGAGGGGACGTTTACAGAAACACATCAGAGTTGGGAAAGCTGCAGGTAGATGCTGACTATGTTCAGACGCTTCCACCAGAAACTGATGCAGAAAAGAGCATTTTACAGGATCATTACAATAATAATTGTAATGATCGTGGCTCAAGAGTTGGGCGTTCGCCTTGTAATCGGAAGGTTGCCGGTTCGAGCCCCGGCTTGGACAGTCTCGGTCGTTGTGTCCTTGGGCAAGACACTTCACCCGTTTCCTACTGGTGGTGGTCAGAGGGCCTGGTGGCGCCAGTGTCCGGCAGCCTCGCCTCTGTCAGTGCGCCCCAGGGTGGCTGTGGCTACAATGTAGCTGCCATCACCAGTGTGTGAATGTGTGTGTGAATGGGTGGATGACTGGATGTGTAAAGCGCTTTGGGGTCCTTAGGGACTAGTAAAGCGCTATACAAATACAGGCCGTTTACCATTTTACCATAATTGTTATTACTGAATAAGTGTCATGAGATTCAGAGGACATAAAAATATTGAGCTGGACACTACAGCGAGCTGATGGAGTGAACGGAAACACGAGAGACGTCTTTGAGTTTCAGAAAAATATTTATTTCAAATCTGTTTCTGGGACATTCATACAAAAAGTGAGTTTTTCCCTTTTTACCCTCAGAGGTAGCAGCTCTGCACCACTAAACTCTCAGAACACGCTCGTCTAAAGCCGCGGCACGCCCTGAACGCCACATACAGCAGAAATCATGGCTCGGTCGTGTGTTTGTCCGACGTCAGGTTTCAGGGAAAACTCTGCGACGCTCAGCCTCGGGCCAGAAACACAGCAGAGATCAGATCTGGTGTCGTTCCAAGAAAAACAACTTTTTTATTTCCTGACAGACAAAAAGTCTCAGACAGGTCACTGCTTTCAGGTGTTTCCTGGTTTCTGGACAATTTGTCCTTCACATGAGGGGAAACCCCGCAAACGTGGCACCGACGAGTCGAACGAAGCGGAAACCTCTAAAGAACGACGCTGCAGCTCGGGCATGATGTCCTTCCTGTGCACACGGCAGCGCTTCTGTGTTAAACGTCTCGATGAACCCGAGCTGCAGGCGCCCAGTGACTCCAGCCGACCTGCAACATTTTCCTCTGATGTGTCTGTCGCTGCTGATGACGAGGTCAGAGCAGGAAGTGAGGAAAGCTTCAGCAGCTCAGGCTGCGAGTGTCCACAGACGACACGCATCGCTAAGACAGTCAGGAAACACGGACCTGTGGGACGAGCCGGTCCCTGCAGCTCGCGTCTCTATGTGCAGATTAAGAGGGTTGTAAATAAACGTGCTCCCGTAGCTGCTGTGTATCCAGTTTGGCAGACGTCTCCCTCCTTTCTTAGAACAGATCTGAGACACTTGGACCTTCACAAAAACCCGAGCACTGATGTTTCTGTCCACGCGTGGGGACATGGCGTCCTGACATCTCCACAGCTGGACTCACAGCAGAGATCAGCCCAGACGTCATCACCATCTGCTCGGCGTCTCGCAGTGATGGAGACATGTCTCCGTCTAATGTTTGGCTCAGAAAGAATAGAAAGACGTGCTTTTGTCAACCTGCAGTGATCTGTGATGTCATCATCCTAACACGTGAAAGGTGTCAGCCTCTGGCTCCGCCCTGAACTCGATGAGTGAACAGCGCTGCAGAGCAGACGTGCGGTTTGTGTTTCCCTAAAGTGACCTCTGACCTGAGCCTGCGCGCGTCGGCGAGGATTTCACACTAAAGTCTGAAGTAAAGCTGAATGTGTGCGCTGCGTAACTCCGTCAGGTGGTTTCAGTCTGCAGAGAACGGAGACCCGCGTCTCCTGGAGGCTACAGCGCCGGTTTGATGAGACGGTGTTCTTGGATTTGATTGGCCGTTTGTCTGCATGCAAATCTGATGGACTCGCGCTGCCGTTGGGTCTGTGCTTTCAGCTCTGCTCAGCGCCGCTCCGGTCGGCCAATTAAAAGCCGCAGCTGCTCACGCTTCAGTTTGTTCTGGCAGCTTTTAAAGGCGAGCCGCAGCTTTTTGTGATTTCGGTTTGATTTAAATGAACGCAGGTGTTTCTCAGAACAGGACGGGACTGCAGGGCTTTGACTTGGAAATACTCAGAAGTGGGATTCCCGCTGGACTCAGCGGACGTTTTGCATTTAATGTTTTACAGGAACTTAAAAATGAACTGGCGGCAGAGCCTCGCAGGGCGCCGCCGTCACCACTGCAGCTGTAAGTGTGGATGCTGGTGCAGCTGGCACACCAACTCCTCCTCTGTGGGCTCCTGGATCTGCTCCCTGCAGAGACACGGGACCCACGGCAGGCAGTGAGCGTGGACTCAGGTTTGTCAAGCACTGAAATGCAATAAATAACAAATTCCCACCTGAATATGAGCTGAACCGAGGTTTCATATCTGATCCTCTCCACATCCATCACAGAGCAGCTGTGACTGCGGTCCCACTTGTAGATGAAGTTCTGTTAGGACAGAAAGACACACGTCAGAGCCTCAAAGCAAAAAACTGGAAAACCGCGAACAAACGTTTACAAGCGGCCTGTGCAGATCACAGCGGGACACGTGGCCTCAGGCATTTAGAAAGAATCAATCTGATCGTCACCAGGAAGAGAAGCTCCTGCAGGCGAAACAGGAACATTTAAACTGCTGCGGCCGTGTAACCTGAGCTGTCTGAAGAAACGAGGATGTCCAACATTTCTGAGCTTTCTTACAGAAGTGTCACAGTCGGGAACGCCGCCGATTCCTTCTCATATACGTCAATGTTGTTATTATCAGGATGTCCTAAAGACTCTTTCTGATTAAGAAGAACGCCGAGTGGCCCTGACACTTTCAGCTGGCTCTCTCTCACTTCCTGCCGCCGACCTTCGTATCTGACACCTGGTTCAGGGGGCGCCTGCATCGAGCGAGTCTCTCACCTCTAAGATGAGCGCCACGAACAAGTTGACCCACATGACCGACGAGATGAGCCACCAACACACGAAGTAGATCTTGGACCACCTGGGAAACAAATCATCATCATCATCATCATCATCCTGGCAGTAACCACCATAATTACGCCGCTGGGCTTAAACCGGTTTCTTACTCTGTGGTGTATCTGCTGTAGGCGTCGATGAAGGCCTGCCAGTTGTTGACGATCATGACGTCGTAGAGTAAAATGATGGCAGCCTGAGAGAAGGAGGACAGATGCTTCAGCACGTTTTAATCCCAGAGCCTCTAACTGAGCCGTGAGCAGGCTCACTGAAAGAAAACCGTTTTTATTTAAACACAACAAGTTCAGAGAAAACTAGAAATGCAGTCCCAGAATCCTCAGAGACATCCTCGTCAGATAGCAAATCCTCTGACCGAGGACAGAGACGCTGAACCTCAGGTTCAGGTGAGAGGCCGTCTGCACTCATCCAGGTGTGACTCACGCCAAAGTCGTCGAAGTTGTTGGGCCAATACTCGAGCTGCTCGTAGGTGCCGCACGCCACGCTGAAGTTGGAGGTGATGTTCTCCATGGAGGTGTTGGTCGGCACACTGACACGCAGAACGACACGAAACTGAACTTTACGATTTATTCATCAACACGTCCCAGTTTACGTGTCAGCGTGCTCAGACAGAGAAGACTTCTTACCTGGAGTCAGGAGGTTTAATGGCGCCCTCGAAGAGCCAGATCCCAAACACAGCAAACACGTAGTACACCACCTGCACGCAAACAGCACGTCAGCAGCTTTTAGATTCACAGCACATCAGCTGACCCGCCCACGCTGACATCACTCACCACCAGGATCCCCGCGAACGCTCGCAGGTTCTTCACCAGGTCCAACAGCGTGCTGGCAACCAGAGCCATGAGCTGCAGAACAGAGCAACGTGCAGACTGAGTGGGAGGAGTCACTGCGTTTGCTGTTTCCTTTGTGCAGGAAGTTCATGTTTTAAAGCTGCCGCGTGTGGAACGCAGGACGATTATTTGAAATCGCTAAAAACTGTTGTTGATTCTCAGACTGCTGGCGTTCACAGCGGACATGGACGCTTCTTTCACTCTTTAGAACCGTCCTCTCTGTCCAACATGTGGCGTCCTCACACCAGTGTCCACATGTTAGACAGAGAGGACAGATGGTTTCATTTCATTTATTTATAAAGCGCGTTTAATAACAGGGAGCTGACAAAGTGCTGCACAGAGTAACAATTAAACAATGACATTGACAACGACGACAGGTAAGAAAATTAAAAGAAAAGTTTCGAAAGCCAGAGTAAAAAAAATATGTTTTAAGATGCGATTTAAACAGAGTGACAGTCGGGCCTTTCTAACGTGGAGAGGTACAACTACAACCGCAAATGCCCGATCTCCTCTATGAACCAGCCTAGACTTATGTGAGGTAAGGAGCAGGCGATCGCTTGATCGAAGGGCTCTAGAGGGCGTGTAAAGCTGCAGCAGGTCAGACGAATAGTCCGGCCAACCAGCACTTTATACGTCAAAGATTTTGACTTTAACTGTAAAACGCACTGGAAGCCAATGAAGGGAAGCAAGCACGGCAGTGATATGTTGGCGTTTCTTCACACGAGTCAAAATGACACCAACTGTGTGCCATCTGAAATCTAGCCTGAGATCCTTCCCAGATGTGGCAACGCCCACTCGCATCCTGGGCCATGTGACCTCACTAAGTCACATGATAGGGTGTGGTTAGGTTTCACCTGAAACCCTGGCTGATTGTGACCTGCACCCGTTTTCACACCTTGGCTCGTGTGATTAGGTAGAGCAGGGGTGGGCAACTCCAGGCCTCGAGTGCCGGTGACCTGCAGGTTTTAGATGCGTCCTTGATCCAACACAGCTGATTCAGATGGCTAAATGACCTCAACACCTCCTCAACATAACTTGAAGTTCTCCAGGTGTGTTGACCCAGGGTGAGATCTAAAACCTGCAGGTCACCGGCACTCGAGGCCTGGAGTTGCCCACCCCTGAGGTAGAGGATCCACAGGGGGTCCACGGCCCTCTTGGCGACGCCCACAGGGCTTAAATCTGTGACTCTCCACCAATCGCTGCTCTTTGAAGTGAAGAAACGTATTTAAGAAAGTTAAAGAGGTCCGGACGCTTCTGTTTCCGAGCTCCTTGGACTGCGATGAGCTGGAGGACTGAGGAGCTGCACAGACTGGTTTTGTTCCAAATCGGCCTCCAATTCAAAATGAGCTCTGATCATTTTCTTAGTTTCTCTGTTTTCTGTGTTGCACTGTTAATAAAACCTGAGTTTATGGGAGCGTCCCAACGTTTTGCAGCTGGGACTGGATTTTTCTCACTTTTTGAAAAGCTGATGAAGCTCGATGGTGAAACAGGTGATGTAAGGATGTAAGAAGCAGCGAGACTCTTGCTGACGCTGACTCACACATAAACATGACCTGACTGTCACACATAAAAGCATTTATATATTTTTCTCCGACCTTCCAAGTGAAACTGTGAAAACAGTGTTTGGATATGATTCGTCAAACTCTGACAGACGACGTGTTTGAATCTGGGATCGTACCTTGATGTCCGGGATGATGCGCAGGAAGCGGAAAACAATCAGCAGGTTGACCAGACGGATCATCTCCCACAGCGACAGCACGCCGTGAGCGGAGGGCTCCCTGCGGTCAGAGGTCAGCGTTTCTAAAACACGCGTGTCTTGATATGTTTGATCAGAGTGTTACACATGAAGAGAGCCGCTGGAGATGATTTTCACTCATTCGCTGGACTCGAGTGGGACTTCCCCCACAGAAACACACAAAAGGCACAAAGCTGAATTAAACAGACATGAACTCACCACTGAGAATACGGAAGCCTGTAGGTGATAAAAATGGTGATCTGCAGGGCCTGAAAGGAAGCAGGGGACACAAATTACCCTCCCAGTGTGGTTCCTACAGCGTCGTTACTAATGAAATTGACCAATCAAATGACTGCGATGTCATAGATTTGGAGAATAGACGGCAAACTGCCAAATACTGTGTTTAAAAAAAGCTGGAAAACTTTAATCAGATGAGTTTACCAACAACAGGACGGTGAGGAAGCCGTCGAAGATGTTGTTCCTGTAGGACAGGTAGCCCTGCCAGCCGAACGCAAAGATCTTCACACACATTTCAAACAGGTAGTAGAGGATGAAGCACAGGTTGATGATCTGAGGGGAGATCAGGGAGAGTCACATCCGCTCATTGCTGAAGTTTGAATAACTCATCCTTTGGAGAGGAAGTCCAAACTCTGACCCTGTGATGAAAGTCCTGCAGTGTATCTGTAACTATACTAACTTAGCGTCCCTTAAAAATGCAGTTTTAGATTAATGCTAATAACAAGTCGACTTAAGCGATGGCAGCAAATGTCTGTCAGTGAGTTCACTGCAGTCACGCATCCAAAACAATCTGCAGTGAGACGAGATTTCAGGTCCTTGTGACAGTCTGACCTCTGCAGCTGAGCAGATACTTGCTAATCAATAACCTTCAAAATAAAATCCTAGAATTTCTGGAGCTCCGCCTTCATGGGCGGTCTGTTAGTACAGTGACCTCACAGCTGCCATATTATTGGTCACATGATGTCATTAACAACGCTTACATTAAGTCATTCACACAGTGAGTGCGACTGTTTCACCTCCAAGACGAAGTTGTCTCTCTCTGCTGTGGACTTCTCAGAGTTCAACACCAGGACAGTCTGAAACACACACGCACAGGCAGACACGCACACACACACAGAGTTGATGTTACAACAGGCTGACCCGCTCAGTGTGTGTGTGTGTGTGTGTGTGTGTGTGTGTCTGTGTTACTTACACATATACACACTACATTGGCCAGAGCCACAGCGTTTCCAAACAAAATGAGATAGTAGTGACTGAAGATCAGCTGGAGTTTCTGCAGGGTGGGAGAGCTGTACTGAGGCAGAGGAGGGTGCTGAAACACACACACACACACACACACACACACACACACACACACACACACAGTCAGACACAGTCTCTGAGATGTAATGCTGAGCACGTCTGGGCCCCGCTTCTACCTCCTTGATGCAGTCTTTATCAAGTTCATCAAAAATCTTGGTGAATTGTTCTCGATCCATGAAGCCGACGTCTTCGTACTGCTGCGCCACCTGAAGAGGAAGAATACATGGAGACATGTTAAAGGCTTTCAGGAGGTCCAACTGAAGACAGGCTGAGAGGGTCTGCACGTGTGCAGAGGAGGGAGAGGGGATATATCGGCCCAACGATGACGAAGATGAAGCTGCTGGCAGGAGGAGGAGAGGAAGACCTCAGAGGAGGTTCGTGGATGTAGTGAAGGAGACATGCAGAGGGTCGGTGAGACAGAGGAGGAAGCTGGGACAGGAGGAGGTGGAGGTTCTTCTTCTCCTGCATAAAATAAGGAACGGACTTCCTGTGAGTGTGTGTCTGCCTGTGTGTGTGTGTCTGCCTGTGTGTGTGTGTCTGCCTGTGTGTGTGCGTCTGCCTGTGAGTGTGTGTCTGCCTGTGAGTGTGTGTCTGCCTGTGAGTGTGTGTCTGCCTGTGTGTGTGTGTCTGCCTGTGTGTGTGTGTCTGCCTGTGTGTGTGCTCTGACCGTAGTGATGGCTGCTCTGTAGTATCTCTTCATCTTGACCCTGGACATCACCTCCAGCACAGCGTCGACACGAGCGCGCTCCCTAAAACAGAGACATGTGTGTGTGTGAGATTACTCCTCGTATTGAAGCGTTTCCTCTGAAGCGATGACAAAAGCTGCGCCGGCTTGTGCGAGTCTTACCCAGCAGCCCGTCGGGCTCCCTGGCAGGTGAGGACCTGGAAAGCTGCCCGGATCCCGAGTCGTCTCCTGAGGAATGACGTCTGGACCGACATCTGGACAAAAGCAGCAGCGGAAAGATTTTGTGAAGATCTCTGCTGCAGCTTAACGGCACAAAGCTCAGAGCGTGTTAGACAAACGTGGACGCTCGGTATCAAAAAGCAAACGTGCAGACTTCCCTGGATGTCTGAGAGCTTCTGTGGGATTTTTCTGCCACTCTTTGTTTCTGCAGGGCGATGAGGTGACTTACAGGCCTGAACGCTGCAGCTTTAAAGTCCACTGAGACACCTCTAATCCTCCAGCAGGTGGCAGTACTGACTCACCTGTAAAAAGCGGCGTTTCAAGAGCCTCGTGTCGGGCTGCGAGGGGGATGGTCCTCCTGCTGGTTTCTGTGTGACGCTGGAGTCAGGCGTGTGACTCGCAGCGAGCGAGTCAGGATTACTTTGAAAACTCTGTGCTTCTTCACTCGCTGCACATTCACGTTTCCCACACGTGATTCTGCAGGATGTAAACTGCAAACATCTGTAAGGTCACCTTACAGATGTGGGGAATGGCGCTCTGCAGCGTGCAGCAGGGCCTGCTGGTTACAATGCATTGTTCTGCATTAGAGTCAGCTGCTGACATGCATGTGTTTCAGCAGGAGGACAGTTATGCGTCAGGAGTTTTTAAGTCTGGCTTGCTGATCAAGGTTTGAGCTTTGGTCTGCACAGGCGCGTATTCACAATAAAACAAATCCTGGTTTTGATGTGGGTCGGCGCTGCCGCTGCAGCAGAGCCTTCAGCTGGGACAAATCCAGAAGAACAAGTTCTACAACACAGAATTACTAAACTGGTCCGAGAGCTTTTAGGAGACGTCATTGTTGAGGCCCCGTGTTCAGCCTGCCCACCACCCGCCCGGTGGGGTGACAACAGAACTGCAAACCTGTCAGGCTGAGGAGTAAGTCAAATCTCCAGGTGTTGGAGGAAGTTTCACAGTTTAGATCAAACGTCCTGACGTGGTTGTGGGCGTGCAGCGGTCCACATGCAGACCTGTGAAGGCCGTTAAAGCCACACTCGACATGACGAATGAATAAACGATGGATCTGCGCAGCCCTTGATGCGATTCTCGCTTCCTGTGCGGTCGTCACTGAAACTGAGTTTGAACCACCGACCCAAACCTACTGAGTCCCGTTCGCTGCACAAACCAAAGAAGGAAAGAATGAGTGAACACGAAAGGAGGCAGTGGAAGAAAACACGAGTGAAGTGTGAAACGAGCGGAGGTCTGGTGTCGGGGCACACGCCAATACAAACGAGACCTTTCTGTGAATAAAAAGCAAAATCCAAGAGCACGAATCAGCAGATTAAAAAGTGCTTGACAAACCGTAGTGAGACTGTGCTGTGCATTGTGGGAAACGTAGGCGTCAGCAGCCTGAGGTCGTGGGATCGTCCGCGTCTCACGCCAGCCGCCTCTCGTAACGAGAGCATTACCTCACAGGATGAAGTGGCCCTCAGCCCATTCCCCGTGACTACTTCCCACACTCCGGGCTTGTTTTTCCCCGTTTCCAACACAAAACCTACATCACAGCTCGTGGACACGCCCACTTTTCCAGCTGGGCGCAGCCGCCGCGTCTTGAGTCAAAATAAATCCCTGAAGCAAAGACTGGAAGAGCTCAGTCATGTGTGAGTGACTCACCAGCAAATATCCCCTGAACTGGTTGTAGATGATGGCTGTCAGTAGGTTCATCAGACAGTAGGTTCCTGCGGGACGACAAACGTTCCTGTGAGCCTGACTGTCAAACACCTCAACGCTGGGGTCATAACTAACGGCTGCTTACCGATGACGCTGAAGGCCACGAAGAAGATGGCGTAGCATCTGTTTAGGGAGTAGGCGGGGATCATCACTGTGACACAACAAAAAAAGACGATGGCATTAACATTAAACTGTCTGTGGCCATGGCGTGACCGTGGCGTGACCGTGGCGCGACCGATCGTGTACCATCGGGGTTGTTGGCTGTGGTGAGCAGCACCAGCAGAGACGTCAGGGAGCTCGGCAGGTTTCTGAAGTGTAGCTCCCACTCGCCGTTCTTCTTCGGGTCCTGAGCACAAACACAGACAAGGAGCGATGAGCCGACACCAAACCTGCAGTTCCTCTAACGTCCAGCAGAGGCAGCAGGGAGTCAGGCCCCATAGACTCCCATGTTAAAACTTCACAGCAGAAATACACACGTTTACAGCCTGATACACAAACTGTTTGTCTCTGTGGATGTGTCTGCACGGGGGGAGGACGTTTCTGTAACTCAACTCTTTAAACTGATTTTGCATTATTAGGGGCGTGGCCTCTCTGACTGGCAGGTGGATGGTGACACAGGCGGCTGAAGCTGCTAGCTTCACCTGAGCTGGACCTCTGCATCGTGTTTGTGCTGTTGGAGCCTTTTGGAGCATTTTAATGACATCATGTGACCAATAACATGGCTGCTGTGAGGTCACTGTATTAACAGACCATTAAAGAAGGCGGAGCTCCAGTTTTCGGATATGAAATCCTGAGCACATGTGGTTAGCATTATGGCTGCTGTGAGGTTAGTGTCATATTTTATTTAAACTACTTTGTGTGTCCACACACACACACACACACACACACACGTCTGTACAAAGCCAGTGTGTTCAGTTTAACAGGGCGTGTTCATGAACACCTGAACTCACCTCATTTTTAGCAAACAGCAGCATGCCGATCATAGTGAAGAGGCAGAGGTGGAGAGCCAGCAGCAGGATGACACTGCAGAGACATCACACACACACACACCACACACACACACACACACACACACACACACACACACACACACACACACGATGTTTAACCTTTAACCCACAGCTGCTCCTAAACTCTGATTAAAGCTCATCATCATCATCGTCCAGCTGACACTAAACGTCATACTGGGAGATGCTCTGACTCTTAAAGAGTGAATCAGCCTCGATTCAAACGTCGTCTCGGTCACTGACCTGTGGTCACAGTGTCGTCCTTTTAAATATTTCCTCATAATAAACTGAGTATTAATCATGTGAAGATTATTCATCCTATTTTCAGGATTATAACAGACGTAGTCTGAGACTGAGGATTCCCTGCGTGCCCACTGAGCAGCATCATCAGTGGGCAGCTCAGCTGTGTGGGCCAATCATACGGCACCAAATCTGTTCAAAGGAGGAAGATGGAGGCAAAAATCCTGAAGCAGTTTTATGGTTTTCAAGAATAAAGCTGTAACAGTTTAAAAAGCCAAACGTGAGCAATCATTTATCAGTTCTAGAGTCGCTGCTTTGCTCGATGAGCAGCCTGCGGCCACCGGCTGAGGAAGCAGCGACAGAAGTGAGAGTGCGCTGATGTCTGTGGCGGTGTTTTTATTCAACGAGTCAGAAGTGAAATTAGAAATAACAAACCAAGTGAGAGTTTCATTCTAGTTTCAGCACAGATCACAGAAAATACCGACCAGCGTGCCGCTCTGTGCCGGCTGACCTCACCACACAGGAGGAGCTGTGGCGGTCTGACCGAGAGCTCGCACAGGTGAAGCAGGTGAGGTTCACTCCTGACAGTCAGCTAACACCCAGCAACAAACCCTCTTTGAATCTTTCATTTATTCTGCGATGGTCAGAGGAGACTGAGATCTGCTCACACTCTCTCCATCTCACCGCTGGCGTTTGGATTTAACGCGACGACACAAACGATGTGGGTGAGCTGTGCTTCCTGAACAGCAGAGCACGTCCCAACAGGCTGACGGGTTTGGGATACCTGGCGATCTCCGGCAGCGTCCTCTTGATGCACTTCAGCGTCTTCTTCATGAGCGAGGAGTTCTGCAGGAGGAAGAACGGCCGCAGGAGCCGCCGCACCCTCAGTTTCTGAAGAAGGAAGGAACATCAACCCGGGATTTTATTTTGACAGGTTTACGTCCCCTGACCTTTGACCTTTCTGTATAGCAGAAAAATCAAACCTGGACTGATCCTCACCTCATCACACACCATGCTGACGGACAGCACCCAGTCCATGACAGAGATCAAAATGACCACAGTGTAGCCAATCAGCCATTTGCTCTTCCCGAACTCCTCCCAGCCAATCAAATAGCTCTGCGGGAAAAAAACACATCCAGAACCGGATCGATGGGAACGTTTACTCTGATTTAATGGGTTTTCCCGGGTTTTCCCCGCTCACCTTAACAGCAACGTCTACAGAGAGGATGATGAGGCAGATCATCTCGATGCTCTCGGTGAGGCCGCAGGGAGGCTGCCAGGCTGGAGAGCGATGCCGGGGGTCCGAGGAGATGGAGAAGGAGGACGGGCGCTCCGCGAAGGCCAGCAGCAGCACCGCCGCAATGGTCAGACCCAAACCCCTGAAGGCGGAGAGAGAGGAGGGCTCTTTAAACTCGTACCACAGAAACACCGCGAGCGCTCTCAGGGCGACCTTTAAACATCATCTGCAGATTTTCATCAGTGTAGCTTTAAAGCACAAACACGGATCCTCAGCTCTTCCTACCCTGCACCCTCAGGCATGATCAGCATGCTTTAAAATCCTCAGCCTGTCGCACTACAGGCAACAAGTTCTTCATTTGTGGCTGAGAGAAGCAGAAACATGACTTTTAATAAAAAGCTTGTTGGCTGCTAACCAATCAGCAGCAGCTGTTCTCAGGTTCCCACACGGCCTCATTCACTTGGAGATTTACTCATTTTTCCCTTTTTTGGATTAACTTTCTATTTTAACATTTGGTAAGGAGACCACAGGTGAACACTTCTGTTGTGTAGCAGCTTCGCCTGTAAACATGAACCCCCCTCCCCCCGCTGGGGTCACTGTGACTCTTTAAAGCGTCTCACAGAAAATTGATCTGAGGTCTCGACGCTCTCGCTCACAGCTCAGAATAGGACCCAGCTATTTTTAAAGCAGCGTCCACGGAAAGAGCCACGGCACTCAGAGCCAACGGGACATGTCTGTGACACTGTGGGACACCGTGGGACACTGTGTGACATGTCTGTGACACCGTGGGACATGTCTGTGACAGCGTGGGACATTGTGGAACACCGTGGGACATTGTGGAACACCGTGGGACATGTCTGTGACAGCGTGGGACATGTCTGTGACACTGTGGGACATGTCTGTGACACTGTGGGACACGTCTGTGACAGCGTGGGACACGTCTGTGACACTGTGGGACACCGTGGGACACTGTGTGACATGTCTGTGACACCGTCGGACATGTCTGTGACAGCGTGGGACACTGTGGAACACCGTGGGACATGTCTGTGACAGCGTGGGACATGTCTGTGACACTGTGGGACACGTGGGACATGTCTGTGACAGCGTGTGACATGTCTGTGACAGCGTGGGACATGTCTGTGACAGCGTGGGACACGTGGGACATGTCTGTGACAGCGTGGGACATGTCTGTGACACTGTGGGACACGTGGGACATGTCTGTGACAGCGTGGGACATGTCTGTGACAGCGTGGGACACCGTGGGACATGTCTGTGATAGTGTGGGACATGTCTGTGACACTGTGGGACACGTGGGACATGTCTGTGACAGCGTGGGACACGACTGTGACAGCGTGGGACATGTGGGACATGTCTGTGACAGCGTGGGACATGTCTGTGACAGCATGGGACACCGTGGGACCCTGTGGGACACCGTGGGACATGTCTGTGACAGCGTGGGACATGTCTGTGACACTGTGGGACACGTGGGACATGTCTGTGACAGCGTGGGACACGACTGTGACAGCGTGGGACATGTGGGACATGTCTGTGACAGCGTGGGACACGTCTGTGACACTATGGGACACGTCTGTGACACTGTGGGACACCGTGGGACCCTGTGGGACACTGTGGGACATGTCTGTGACAGTGTGGGACACCGTGGGACATGTCTGTGACAGCGTGGGACATGTCTGTGACACTGTGGGACACCGTGGGACACTGTAAATAAGGAGCAGGTTTTACTGTAGGCAGAACTGCAGCTGGTTATAAGGCACAAAAAGGAACTCTGTTATTTCTGTTAATAATTGTTAAAGTCATTTTAATGCAGACAGAGCAGAACATGTTTTTTCATTCAGCCTCTCTTTGTTTTGTCTCGGCGCCAAAGTTACTGAGTGCAGAAAAACAGGAAGTGAAGAGAAGCTGATGCAGCATCTAAGTCGACTGTTTCGTGTCAGAGATATTTTAGTTTTCACACATGTAGAGACTTTGTTCAAAAACACACCGATCACACATTCTGAGCACCGACAGGTGAAGAGATCAACCTCCCACCTGTTGGTGGGCGGGGTCTATCAGGCAGCAGGTGGACATCTTGTCCTCAAAGTTGATGTTAGAGGAAGAAAAACGTGCGATTGTTACGCTTTGAGCCAGTTTGACAGTTTGGGTCAGAGCATCTGCAAACCTGCAGCTCTGTGTTCCCGGCCTGCGGGGGGCGGGATCTGTCAGAGTGATCCAGGGAAAGAACGGGATGTGCTGGACACACAGTCCGATCCACCGAGGCCCCCCTCACAGCTTACAGGACTGACAGGACCTGCTGCAGATACCACAGCACGCCTGCAGGGGTCGAGCGGAGGCCACGCCTCACAGGTCAGAGGGACGGACGCAGTATTAGGCAGGTGGTCATAATGTTACGTCTGCTTGGTGTAAATTCTTGTTTTTGAATGAGCGACCCAGGCCTGGTGAACCTGCTGTGAAATATCATCTATATAAATAGATATCAGAGGATAATTGAGCACTACGACTGTTCTCCTTCTCTTAATTTGGGCTTCTTGTAGCCAACACGTAAGATCACGTGTACATGTTCAGTTTCGTGCAGTCACGGCGATGCAGCAGAAGCAGTGCAGGACTCGTGTGTTCGGTGAACTCTGCACCGTCTCAAAGTGCCTTAAACCAGCGGTCCCCAACCCCCGGGCCTCGGACAGCGAGAGTTGAGGCTCGGGTGTGAAATTTATGTTTTTCAAGGTTTTTATCGTTAACTCGGTTTCCCGGGATCTTTGCAGTCGTGCGTCTTATTTTGAAAGAAATATTTATGCGTTACCATAGTGACCAGAGAGCATTAAGGGGCAGAGAGGAGGATGTTACTCTCAACGTTGTTGGTGCACTTCAGGAGGACGCTGCTGATAAAGTTACACAATTACACAGTGAGTTTGCGTTTATTATTATTATATATATTTATGTCTCGGTCGGGTCGTTTATTTTGTTGCATTTATCCGCCACATCTTAAAGGCCGTGAAAATATTATCTGACATTAAACTGGTCCGTGGCGCCTTTAATCTCTGCATCATTGTGATGCTCAGTTTGAACTTCAGCAGGTCGTCTTCACCGTGTCGAACACGCCTAAATGCACTGAGTTGGTGCCACGTGATTGGCTGATTAGATCACTGCGTTAACGAGTAGTTGAACAGGTGTTTCCAGTGAGTGTCTCAGCTTACCTGAATAAGAAAAGTTCAGTTTGCATTTGCTGTGTGGAAATAACTGAAATGGTAAATTTCTGGAGCTCCACGACTGCATGCAGCAGGGACAGAGGTCAGAGGTGAAGGGTCAGAATTTCCATATGTAAATATTTTGCGGTTGCTCTGAACTCCAGCAGAGTTTGAGCTACTTACCACTGGATTATCCCAGAGTAGTACCATCGATACAGGCGGAGAGAGCCTGCATCCACTCGGTGGTTGATGGAGCGGTACTGTAATCAGGAAGAATACTTGAGTACAAATAATAATCTACAGGTGTTTTATTTTGTCTACAAGTGTGGGGACAATGTTTTCCTGCAGGGTTGCTTTCCAGAAGCTCCCACAGTGCAGGAATCATGGAGGAGGATGAGAGTGGAGGATTTGACAAAGTTCTGTTCTCTCACCTTTATGGCGTCCTCGATGAACACAACAGCCTGTTGGATGTAGAGTTCCTCGTCACCTGTGGATGGTGAGAAAAGAGTGAAATACAACGACCTGAAGAGTACAAAGGAGAAAGTTTGGGGCCCGGCCGGGCTGAGGGGGGGCAGCTGAACCACAACAGGAAGCACAGGAGCTCCGTATTTAATACCAGAGTGAAAACGTGCACCTTTAACCAACACACATGGTGCCAACGCAAACCAACAGGTGTCAGTAAGGCCTGTGTGTCCTTCTTTTATATACAGTCTATGTGTAATACAACACAGAGAAACTTTTACTTCCTGTGGACAAAAATCAACATCGTCAGAAACAAAGGGTCCAGCCCTGTGAGAGCTTCAGTCAGACGTGGTTCAGGTTTGCATGGAGCTTCTGGCCTGATCTGATGAATGTGTCACTCTGGACTCAAACCTGTGACACGTTTCACTCACGTGTGTGCTGAACGTGCAGGTTTGGACAGAAGCTCAGAAGCAATGTGGAGACGACAGTTTAGCAGCTGTCAGGTGATCAAGTTTAACCACTCTGACCTTTCCATCCAGCACTTACACAGACATGATGACTCACACACACACACACACACACGCGCACACACACACACACACACGCACACACACACGCGCACACACACACACACACACACACACACACACGCACACCGAGTGCTGCTGATCGATGCATCACAGCAGAATGTGTCACTGGGGGTGGTTGTGGTGGGTGTCACTGACAGGACAACACTTTAAACGGTTGCGCTCTCTCTCTCACACACACACACACACACACACACACACACACACACACACACACACACACACACACACACACACACACACACACAGCAGCAGCAGCAAGGTGTAAAAAAAAAAAAACTCCACTGAAGTCATTTCAGTTTCGAGTTTCTGTGAAATTTAGTTTTTGATTTGAAGTAATTTGAACATGAAAATATAAATTTGAGTCTAGAAAAAGAAAAGAAAAGAATATTTTGAACATTTGAGGTGAAATAAAAATAAAAACAGGAAGTGTCTGCAGGTTTGGTGGTGGTTTCAGAAAAACCATCCTGAGGAGGATTTTATTGAGTTTAAAGAGGCTGAGACTGAGTCAGGCGTGTTTCCTCTGAAACGTCCTCCACGTCACACTGACGGAGAACTCCACCCTCTGGAAAAGGAAGACCGACTGCTTTGCTGTCAAATCTGCGTTTAAATGTAAAGTCTGATGCTTCCTCCATCAGTGAATCCACTGAGTCATTTAGCCTCTTCTTCTTTGGTGTTTTTGCGTTTTCCTTGAACACGTCGCAGTTCAGAGTCACTCACTGACGACCTGTTTCCCTCCAGCACTCACACAGTCACCAAACACTGACTAACCAGCAAGGCAGAGCAACCAAAGGATTGCTTATTGTGAGAAAAGACAAAGTAGTTAATAACTGGTGAAAACTTATGCTGCCTAATTATTACAATAACTAAAGATCTGTGTAAATACGTCATTAGTTTCTCTGGTACATCTGATACATGTGACCTCGCACACAGACACGTCCAGCTGCACCTCAGAAACAGGCTGGTCGTTCAGACACGATCAGCAGTATTCACTTAACCACAGACGGGAACACAGGACAGACTTTGAGCCTTTCAACCAGGGGTGCCCGACTCATACAGCACAATCTGACCTCAAGAACCAATAAAACCCTGCAGTGCTGTGCAAAAGTCTTGAGCCACCTCTCACTTCTTGCTTATAAGGAGCTGGACGGTCCTGTAAGCAGCTCTGCAGATTTATGAAAGTCGTTCTTTGGACACTGGCTGCTTCTTCACTCATCCTCATCCTCAGTCCTTGTACTTGACCATTTTCAAGGGGATGTTTTTATTCACTTGTTAAGTCACTAAACACTGAAAACTTTAAGAAAACTGCACCGTGGAGGACAGAAGAAGAAGAAGTGTGGGGCCTAATAAAATCTATCTACAGTGTCCGAGAGGCATGTGCTTAAGAAACACAGGAGCTGAGAGCTGATCGTCTGCTGCTCACTGAAGCCTCGCCAGGACTGTCTCGGTGGACGGGCGGCTATCAGGAAACCATTCTTAATGAAGGGAAACGGGAGGAAAGGCTGAGGAATGAAAATGACATAAGGACTGGAGTGAAGCTCACAGGACCAGGTCTGATCCACATTCAGACCTCAGCGTTACTGACTCGGTGCTGGAAACATCCAAAGGAGAGCTGCGAGCGTCCTTCAGCCTGGAGATCCTCACAGAGACGAGCTGCAGGATGAAGCTGCTCTCACCAAATATGCCCTTTTTAGAAACATTCAAACTCTGTTTCTGTCTTATATGTTTGTCTGCACGTTTCAATCAATTGTGCACCTTTTAAAAAGAGCCGTGGCTCAGGACTTTTGCACAGCAGTGTACTTTAAAAAGTACTTTCACATGTTCCAGGTGTTGCTCATCATCTGGAACAACAGCATTTCAATCTTTGAGCTTTCCTTTCTCGTCAGTAACGCTGCGAATCAAAACGCCGGGAATAAGATTGGACTAAAATAATAAAGAAACGTCATCTGTGTGAGGAAGCTCTGACTCTGCAGCTGTGGGCGTGTTTAACCTGAGCCTAAAAAACTACCTGCCTGCGCTCACCTGAGTAAATCAGCTGATCCGGTGACTCCCGGTACTCACAACATGACAACTTTTCCCAGCTCACTGCCACACCTGAAAACGTAAAAGCCGCTCACCTGGCTCCCTGTCCACACTGCTCGAGTCCCCGTACACCGAGTCCGACATCCTCCTGCCGCCCGGGGCCCCTCCGCGCTCCGAGCCGGTCCTGGAGCCATATTCCCCGGAGGCTCCGTCCAGGCTGCCGGACAGCAGGCTGTCCGTCTCCATCCGGCTCAGATCAGAGTGTCGGAGTCCGTCCAAACTCCAGAACAACAACAAGAAGGCGCTCAAACAGAAAGCAGCGCAGCGTGCGGGAGGAAGTCCTCCTCCTCCTCCTCCTCCTCCTGCGCCAGTCAAGCTCCACCCACAGCACAGAGTCACGTGCTCAGAGCTGCCGGAGCAGGAAGCCAGCAACGAAAGTCAGGTTCGCTTTACCGCGTGGAGGTCATTAATCCACACAGATGAACTCACCTGGAGAAAAAGGGCGCGAGCGTCACAGTTACGTCACACGGAGACACGAAAACACTGTAAATAGTGATGGCGACAACAGGGAAAACTGGCGTTTCTGTTAAATGTGGGTCAAATCAAACGGATGAACTGGTTGGAGTCTGCACCTCTGAGATTATTAATCTGATCCAGCTACATCAGCCACACCAGGGGTGTCAAAAATAAGGCCCAGGGGCCAAAATCAGCTCGAGTCCAGCCCGGCCCGCGGACAGCTTCAGGAAATATGAAGGAGGGCCAAAAAGTTTGGACCTTTAAATGTATTTTAAAAGGTTATTAAGCTTTTCTTGCTGCCACAGACTCACTATGAGCATTACTAGTGAAGTAATACATAAACAGTTCATTCCACACAAAAGGACATTTTCTGTTTTCTACCATCGCAGCTCTGACCACACGTTTGTTGGATTTCTTATTTCGTCCCAAAGAGTCGTGCTGTCAGATTTCTTCATCGTGTATCTGAGACGTGTTCGGACATCTCGGGGATTAAACGTGTGTTTAAACGTCGGTACCAGAGCGTGCTGTATGTGGCTCAACGTGTAAAATCAGTTTGACATCTTTGGCCTAACACAGAATCCTGATATCAGTAATCTTTACTTTGTATTCATCATATTTATTTTGCCCTACTGAGATGAAAAACAAGATTATTTTTAGATAACCTAAGTGCATGAAAGAAACCTGTCACATTATTTATTTTCCCCCAAAGGTGATTAACTGATTTCATCATCGGCTCCTTGTAGTGGGCCTCGGCTCTCTTTCACTGCTCTGGGTAGAAATCTTTAGATTTAATCTCCGTGCAAAGTTTACGCACAGATTTTTAATCACCATTACATCATCATCAGATAACGCCTCTGATGGTAGAAGAGTCACGTGACCCACACAAAGAAGCCAAGAACAGATTTAACAGGAAGTTGATAACTTCTTACGCTGGGCTCTTAGGCTTGGATGTTCCAGTGCAGACCGAGGAAGCCTGGCCTTGTTCAGCTTCATCTGCAGTACACCCCTCAGTAGTTTCAAGGCTTCTTTAACACAGTGTGATATTCATTTAGTAAATTATGGACACATCGAGATACATTTTTAGGACACGGCCATGTTGTGTCTGCAGTGTTGGGAAGGTTACTTTTAAAACGTCTTCCATTACAGAATACAGAATACATGCCCCAAAATGTATTCTGTAACGTATTCCGTTACGTTACTCAATGACAGTAACGTATTCTGAATACTTTGGATTACTTAATATATTATCATGCTTTTTACAACAACGTGAATGTACTATTGCTGTGTGATTTATTACTGTTACTGAAGGTCCGCGGCTCCGAACTGTAGTAAAGGGACCTCTGACTAATACGGCGGGGTCCCTGTCGGCTCGTAGCTGAAAAATAGCTTTACTTTGTTGTGTGGGTCAACTTTTCTGGCGAGAGACAGAGAGAGGCGTTGAAAGGCTCCAACGGAACTTATTGTTTCGGAGGAAAACAGGAACACGGTGTACAGTCGAGTCTTAATAGCTTACTTACAACTGGGCTCGTCAGGCTCTCTTCTTGGCTGCAGTGGTTATTATTATATTTACATGCTTCCAGCTCCCGTTTCTGCTCAATGACAACTCGTACCTTTCCACTCGCCTTTTTCTCCCTCCTCGCTCACAGACACATAACGTGTATGGCAGTGCATTCTCCCTGCAACACGGACTACACTGCCCATGATGCTACATTCTTTAGAGCTATGCTTGTAGCATTCTGCCTGTTAGCTTAGCACAACAACAACAACGAAAAGGCGCTCTCTCACCCAGGAAACACACAGTGGCAGAGAGAGAGAGAGAGAGCGTCGCCCTGTAACCATGGCAACCGTAGCGCTGCCGCCTGGAACAACAGAACGTAGCTGTCAAACAAAACCCAAACAGTCCTGACCCGCGACAATATGAAACAGGAAAGTACCGCAGTGTAATCCATTTATTTCAACAAAGTAACTGTATTCTGAATACCACCTTTTTAAACAGTAACTGTAACGGAATACAGTTACTCATATTTTGTATTTTAAATACGTAACGGCGGTACATGTATTCTGTTACTCCCCAACACTGTGCGTCTCTGATCTGTGGTCATTCAGTTCAGCCACGCCCGTTTTAAGACGTTAAAAGAGGACTTTGCCTTGCTTCCATCTTTTATGTACAGTCCATGATGGAGACTTCTTTGCTGCACCATAGCAGAGTTCAAAAGACAGATTAACAGATTAACAGCATGTCATGAAAGCGCCACAGTCTAATGAGTGTGAGAGTTTAAGCACCACAACAGAAAGGTCACGTCATGATGAAACGACCTCCGGATGTCGGGTTCCTCCTCAGAAACGGAACGCTGAGCTCTTGAGGCAGAGCTCAGAAGAGGACGTGCCGGGTTTCAGAAGCCTGAGTCAGGAAAATGACAACACCTGAGTTTATGATGGGTAACAAATATCATGTAAGCTCGAGCTCTGAGCTGTGGGAATGGATGCGAGCCGCCTCTCTGCAGTCCTCCAAGCATCAGTGTGGTTTTAGTAAAAAAGGGATTTTTTTGTTTTTCAAATAGACGTCATCAGTACATTTGAAGCAGTTATTGGGAATTATTCCATCAGGGTGAAACGAAGGAACCTGCAGTGCTAATAATGTCGCCTTCGTTAAAACCACGTTAACGGCGGTGAAACGGTCACTCATGTATTAAAGAAGCTCTCTGCATGCAGACAAACCTGTGAGAGCAAAAGGAACCGAGTCTGAGCTGCTCGCCACGTGAAGCCTTCATGCACGCTTGATCACCCAGGTACGGAAAGTTCCTGGGATCTTAATGTTGGTGGTGTTGAACGCCCCCTGCCTCGCTCACAGTCACGTATAATGTAAACCCTGGATCGCCCTGGCTACGGTCAGTTTGACAGAACAAACATGGCAGCCAGATATTTCTCACACACGTGAGGATTAACACAGGACCATCCCCACCTGACCTCTTCATAAACACTTTGACCTTATTGTCACGTGACTTTAGCTAAACGGTGAAAGACTGACTCGAGTTAAAGCTGCTTCTGTTTTTTAGTAAGTGTAATCTTGAAATGACTAATATTGTGTAGCTTTAAATACCAAAACAAACCACGACGGTTTACTCTGACCTATGAAATACCTCGTCCCCTCAGACATGCCACGCTGTCCTCTAATGTCCCACAACCACCTGTATCTGATCCACGTCACGCCACAGATATGAACAGCTATGCTGAAGAATAAGCTGAGACGAGAAGCTTGCCGTGGTTTGTGCGCTTCTTCAGCAACCTGCTGGCACGACGTCTGCGACACCCAGGCTGGTTCGGTCTGCAGAGATCATTTCCTCCTTCATAACAACTGCATGTTTCTATAACTCACCTGTTTAAATTGTATTAAGGCTTAAAGTTAGCATGAATAGGCGCGTGGCCTCTTTGACGACAGGTCTAACCCTAACCTGTACGCAGTGTTCTGACTGCGGCACATACAGGACAAAAAAAAAACACAATCAAGAGATCTTTTATTTCACACGTGGACACTTGAGATGATCCTGTATCTTTAAATTTTACACAGAACAAGATCAAAACAAACCGGACGGAGGACAGAATCAGAAATAATCAGGGGCGATGCAAAACTGCACAATAACACACAAAGAGAGAAAAACAAGCAGAAGAATTGTGTGTCTGGATCATAGACTGTAGATAAACGATGGACCCAGGATGCCCCCTGCTCCTTTCTGACTCTAAGGGGACCATCATCTCCAGAATGTTTGATTCAATCACACCTGAGACCATTAAAGAGGAAGCGCCCCCTGCTGGGGGCCAGAAAGAATGCAGGATTAAGGCGTTTGATTTCACAGTCTGTGTAAATGGTTGTTTGAAGGGACCACAGTTGTTATTAATGTCACTGAGGTCAGGAAAGCACAAAAGCATCGTCCGTGGTCTTCGGCTTTGATCAAGCGGGACGTCTTCGTGGTCATCGGAGTCACGAAGGGCCGATGACCTCTGCTTCTTAGCGCTTCGCCGTGTTTGCAGCCATCTGGGTCACCTGGAAGAACAGAAACACCTGCTCACAGCTCGTCTTCATCGACGTGCCGCTCCTCTGATCATCTTTTCTCGTTCTGACTGGGAGAGAAATGCGATGATGCTCACCTGGTCGTCGATGCACCTGAACTGCCAGCTCCAGCTTGCGTTGTAGAGGAAAGGCCTGAGGTCGAAGCGGTTGTCGTCAGGACTGTAGCTCTCGGCGTGGTAGGACGGCGTAACCGTGGTCATCTTGTGGCGGTTCACAGAGTACATCCTGAAGAAGCGCTTGACCTTCTGGGCCACCTAAAGGAAAACCACGAGCTTGCTTCAGGTTAGGCTGCTGGGGACACGACCTTCATACCTGTGACCACTCAGACTGACCTCTGAGGGCGAGAGGGCGTCCTTCCACGTGTGAATGAGTTTACAGAACATACTGAAGGGGCCGCACTTGGAGATCTTCCTCAGTCGTCCGATCACAGACAACTCAGAGTAGGTCATCCCCATGTCGGCCTGCGGGGGGAGCACACACAGCGCTAACAGTCTAATAGCAGTCATGACGTGATGCTAGCAGAGCGCTTCACGCTGACATCTTTGGACTTTATAAAGACGCCTGCAGTCAGCAGCGAGCTGCAGTTAGCTTCCTGTCACCTGTGTACAAAGAGGCTTCAGCCCGCCGGGGGGCCTGATGGTTGCAGGGGCCCCTCCTCTACATCATACTGCACGCTCATAATCACAGTGTTACAGTAGAGCGGACTCTTAAGTGGTTAAATCGTGGACTGAACTTTAGCTGCACTCAGTCATTTTACTCTCACTATGAGCAGAGGGGCATGCTGGGAGATATACAATATAATATATATTAGGGCTGCTACAAACGATTATTCTGATAGTCGACTAATCAGATCGTCATCCACTGGACGTACAGCGTACAGCTTATTGCACCAGCAGCATCTGCTCTCATATAACTATCATTAGCTTACAGCTTTAAGTGTTTAAGGTGCTAACTAAAAATAAAGACAAGATGATAGTTTATTCAATTTTAATGAAATTTGC